TCTTTGGCCAAGGCCATGGATCTGAGCCAAACACAAACTTTCCAATGGTTAGAATGACTGGAACCATTCAGATTCAAGACCCTTTCTCATGCCTTGGGGGACAGGACTGTGCCCTTATGAAAGCCTAACTCATCTAAAGAAAATCATTTTCATGTTGTCCTTATCATTGCTGCATCCCAAACTCATGAGTTCTCAATAACGACTGGGGAAATTTACATCACTGGATACAGTGAATTTTCCAAGGGCAGGCACAGATATGTTTCTGTTCCTATAGATCAGAGACCTTTCCAGGACCCCATAGATAGAAGAGAAAAACTTTCTCTTTTTTAAAGTATAGCTATAAACCCAGAGATGGCACAAGCCATCTCTGCCTTCAGTGTATTTAACAAGACATGTTTTGGTTAACACTTAAACTGTCATTCACTTTCTACAAAGAAGGGGAAATCTGTCCCTGTTCAGCTTGTCCACTATTTTCCTACTTTCCGGTAAAGGTTATAGCTAAGTGTCAACGGCTTTATTGTTTTATTGGTAACTTTGATAGACAGATGTAAGATACCTGCCCCTGAAAAGTCACCTGGCCTATACTACATTGAGATGAATGTTCTGAACTCTAAACAAAATCAGGTTGTATCAATTCTGCCCCTTAAGTAATCTCTCCACCTCTCTTCCTGCTCTCCACCTCAACTTGCCTTGCCTAGGCCATTTCCTGATACCACTCACCTGGACAACTGCCCTGACTCGTCTAATGTTCTACAGTCTTAGATGCTTCAAACCCATCATACAATTGGTGGACTGGTAGGTCTTTCTAAAATGTAAATCTGACCATGTTCCTCTCTACTTAAACTCTTCAGCAATTCCCTCTTGCTCTCCAAGTTAAATCCATGACACATAAGAGCCCTCACGATGTGGCCTCCACCTGCACAAGCCATTGCAGCAGTTTCCATAGGGAATACTCTTTTTATTAAAGGACTTAGCCTTGGAAGTTCTTAAGAGGTGGGGAAGTTTTACTTTATCCTTTATGCTTTCTTATGTTGTTGAAATGTTTACAATGAGCTATAGTCTGTTTTGATAATTAGTAAGGCCGTTTCCATTTAAAACAAATTGTTAGGATGACCCCTGTTTTCATCAACAACCTGTACCCATGAAAGGAGATCAGAATGACAGCTTTTAAAAGAGAAGATGCTTAGGGGCACCTGGGTGGCTCAGTTGGTTGAGCATCTGACTTCTGCTCAAGTCATGATCTCACGGTTCATGGGTTCGAGCCCTGCGTCGGGCTCTGTGCTGACAGCTAGCTCAGAGCCTGGAGCCTGTTCCAGATTCTGTGTGTGTGTGTCTCTCTCTCTGACCCTCCCCTGCTCACGTTCTCTCTCCCTCTCTCTCAGAAATAAATAAAACATTAAAAAAATTAAAAAAAACAGAGATGCTTTTCTGTGAGTGTAGAATAAGTGTGCTCTCATCTAGGAGTCTGCTCGCCAGTTTTCAGGGCCACTGAGGCATTGTCAATGCTCAGACGATGACATGGAGGGGAGCCTATCCCCTTCAATATGCCATTTTCCAGACAAGGAGCACATTAGGACCCCATTTGGGCTGGTAGCTTAAGGAATGGCCCTGAGGCTGTCCCATAACTGTGACTTGTTTCTTTCATCTGTGTTTTCTGTCATCTTGTTCACTCTCATTTCCTTTGCTGCCCTCTTAATTCTCTCTCTCTCTCTCACTCTCTTCCCCATATACTTCTCTGCTCTGTTTCTTCCAGCTCTTTGCCAAGCAGGGCAGCCCAAGGACAGAAAGTGAAGCTACAATTTCAAATCATTATTTCAAATCACATTTGCACTATCTCTATCCCTACCTAATGCCACAGATTGGTGGGGATTGGCCACCTGAGAAAGCCAGACAAAATCCCCCTAAAAATGATTATAGGGCTGCACCCACCCTTCTGGAAGGTCACCATGAACATAGGCAGAACATAGGTCCACTTCTCAGCATCAGATCCTTTGGACTCTGGGCTTTGGGGTGTGCAGAGGGAAACAGATGAGATTAGCCAGACACCTAAAGAGAACATAGGCTCAGAGATCTGGTCTAAAGCCTCTAGAGTTCTTACAAATTAAATCAAGTTTTCTTCTGTGCCTGGGATCTGGCCTGTGCCTGCCTTCCTAGTATCATTTTTGTTTTCCCACCACAGAACCCCCAATCTCTAGGAGCACAGGACTACTCCAAGCTCCCCCCGATGGCCATGTTCTCTAACCCATGTGCTTTTGCAGCTTCCATGACTGGAGGTCAGCACCACCCTTCGTGGCCCCCACATGCCTGAGCTCATTCCTGCCTGGATGACACATAGTTTTCTGGGAAGTTTACCTAAGATTTTTCCTTGAAAAGATCCTTGACTGCTGACTGCCCCACACTCATGTCAAGCCTGGGTCCATTCCTCTCATCTGTGCCTCACCCCCTTCCCAGCCCCTGCCACTTCTGATTCACCTCTGTCCTTAGCCCCTCCTTGCCACCTGGACTCAAGGGCCTTAGGGAAAGTTTTAGAGAGAAGGCCCCCTTCCCTAAAATATAAGCACCTCTACCGTACTGGAGGTTCCTTGAGCGCAGGTGCTGGTCTCCTACAGGGTCTGCAAAATAGCAGCGTCCCGGTAAATGGTGTTTTAATATTCATTTAACAAAATTTTTGAGCACTGACAGTGTGGGCCACTGTGGAATGGATGGAGTCCATTTCCAGGCATGTGCAATCAGTGTCACGCTAGCAGTAATTTGGAGGGAACCTGCTTGCACAGTGCCACAGATCAGAGCTTTAGTTTTCCAGTCTCATAAAAGCAGGACACCCACCTGGCACCCACTTCGTTGCTAGTACAAATAGATGGTCAGTTCAGGCTTGCTGAATTAACTCAGCCACCTACATAAGCAACAGGAACTGGGACAATCCAAGTGGTGGGGTTGTGATGAAAACTCGCTCCACCATAGAAAGAGTTTAACTGAGTGGGAAGTAGGATGCTGGGGAGATGCTATTTGGGGCTCAAAATAGCAGACACCTGGCCTCCTGCCACCCCATGACTCCTCCCTAAGGCCACTCCCTCCTGATTTATAGTCCCATCTGTCCCTTGCTGGTTGCTTCGGCTCTTTCCCCTCTGGGAGAACGAGCCTCACTCATACCAGTGGCCTCATTGGTGGACTGTGCACCACAGACGTTAGTGTTAGTTCCTGCACCTAAGGAAAAGGAATCTTCTCCAAGGATTGGGAAATTGGTGGGTCTCTTGATAAAAGCCCAGAAAAAGATATTTTATTCACATGGCTTAGCATTCTCCCAAGTCCAAAAAGGATCCATGTGGAATGCAAGAAAAATGAGAACACAGCTCTCGCCACGTTATTCTTTGGAGTAAGGACACATTCTTAAAACACTGGTATCAGAGGGTTAAAATCCTCGAATTTATGATGTAAACATGAAACAGGGAACGAGGGACACTATACCATGTTAGAGAGTGTGGTTAACTCCACGTAACACCTTCTCCACAAGGGGAAAAAAAAGTGCCTCTTAAATACAGTCCCTGTGCTTGGCACTGGATATGTACCAATTCTACCCCAAAAAATATAGTCAAGTGGAGCAAATGTAACATAGGTAAGCATTGAGGATTGCTAACTTATGGATAATTTTAATTTCAAAAGTTATATGAGTTCATTGCACAGAAGGGCCATAAAAAGGTAGAAACAAAGGTTACTGTCACTCAGAAGAAATAGGAAGAATGACAACATTCACTCTATATTAATAATATTACATAACATTAAATGGAACACCAATAAACTCTGACCCCAGGGTAATGAAAGTGCAGTGTGGGGGGCATTCAATAGAGGGCTTCTACTGCATTAGAGGCTCATTTGCTTTTTAACTTGGCTAACAACAAAGAGAATTTATCCCACGGGCACACAGATGAATAGTTAGCAAGGAAAAACCAATTTAGAATTAAAACAAACCAAAATAAACAAACAAAAAGCACTAACCCCAAAGAGGAAAACCCATAGCCCATCACATTTGTTGGATATGACAGTTTTAGGAAGCTGAGTTCCAGCCTCAGTTAACTGGGAAAACAAAGCCAAATCCAAGCCCACCCCCCTCCCATTCGTGTATATTAATTATAAATCACAAAATCCAGAAGCATCCTGTTTTTAATCATTTATCAAACACGTCAACCTACGAGGAAATGGAACATTAGGAGTGAGCTTCTTAAAGTGTAATTTCCTATAAGAGAAATTTATGGCCTGTACTTATTCTCCATTAGAGTATGTCTAACCTCTTTTATTAGTTTATTCATCAAGACAGCCTGGTTTCAAGCCAGTTCTGCAAACCCGCAGGTCATCAGGCAAGAGATCTCTGGGGGATTTTTCCTCCTGGTCCGGTAGTGTTTTCCAGATCATAACACAGTTAACAGAAGTCGTCATGGTGCATTCAGCGGGAGGTTTTTAGGTATTCCCCAAAAGGCAATTCACAAAGCAAGCCCCAGGGACCACACTGGCTAGAAAGTGAACATCTGAAATGTACTTTGAAATGAAATGATTTTCTGTTTGTCGTATGAGGTTTGTGATTGCCTCTCCAAGAGCACTGTGTCCATTGCTTTTGCGTTCAGGTTCAATTTCTTATTTAGTGATGTAATAAAGGGGCGATTTAGAACCTAGAAGCAAGGACTTCCCAGTCAATGAGCTGCTCGATCCCTCATCTGCTGCACACCATCTCTCCAGGATGGTGTGGCTGATTTCCAACCTACACAGCCCCCCAAAACTATCTACTTCCCCACATGCACAGCTGTTTCTCTTTTTACCAGACAGTCCCCAGCCCTGCAGAAGAGAGTAGTTCAAACCATACTCAGGGCTTTCTCCAGCTCTGTGTTAGATCAGTCTTTCTGAGGAAAACAGAACTCTAACTTTCCGGTGATGAAAACAAAAGCTCCTGATATTTACAACTTGGCCTTGGGGACCAGAATGAGGAAAACATATAAATAAGAACATCTTACCTTGTTTTAAGGATATTCAGAAACTGCAAAATCTCCGAAAACTGTATCAGCCTGAGAGCTCTTAAAAACCTCAAACCTGGAGAGAGAAATGAAATAGAGACACATTATTCTCACCGCGTGGTTTTAATGTTCACACTCTGCTGTTTGATCTACAGCTGCCAGGGTTGAAGGGATATGAAGTTCTTGCAGGAGATTAAACCAACCGGTACCTGGACATAGTCCTTCATTCTGATTCTTGACTTTAATCTCAGCCGGTAAGATTTTTCATTAAAGGACGCCTGTTTTGAGCCCCTGTAGAGGAAGGTCTGGTGGGGAGAGCCTGTTTTAATGAGGCCTCTTTTTTGTCCATCTTGGATTTAAAGCACAGTTTCTAAGTTACCTACTGGTCTGAGAGGATTTTTGGCTCTGAAAAATACTGGGAATGGCACAGAGTAACCCTTGTGCTAAGAGCAGATTAGGAACAAATCGGATAACCTTATGTCTTTGATGGATTTTTTAAAAACTTTATCTTCAATCCTGATAAAATGAAGAGTATAAGCTACAGCATTATCTGTTTTCTAGAAGGTTCTCTATTTTTCTCCCAATCAAAAAAGAAAAATCAGATCAGTAAGATCTCACTCCCCATAACTTCAGGATCCAAAATGTACATATTTCCACTTTTACTCAGTGTCACGATAAATGTTTCTCCTTTCTAAACTGGTAACGAAAAGCTGCTGAATGGAAACAAAGAGGTAGCATTTCCAGACAGCAGAAGAGAGATAGACACCGGAAAGGAAAATATAATCAAGGATTAAGGAAAACACAAATTATTTTTGTGTTTTAATAGACCAGATATATTGAGATCCAATTCATGAGTCAAAAACAATCCGAGTCACTCAAAGGGCTTCCTGTAAGAGAATTACTTACAAAATACTGATTATCACAGCTTTGAGGTATTTTCAATATCACACCCTTTGCTAAGGGAGTTTTCTTCTACAGATTTTCCAAAAGCATTTTGTCAAACAGCCCCACATGCCACGAGCAGTGCTAAGCAGAGAGTGGGCTAACTTACTGACAGGCTGCTCTAAGCCAGTGGGTGAGGCTTTATTCTGCCCCCTGTAAGGCAGGAAGTGGTGGGAAGAAACTTCAGGGATTCACTGGAATGAATCAAGGAAAGGAGACAGACAGGAAGTTTTCCCCTATACAGCTCCACACCTGGCCCAGGCAGATTTCACCTTGTTCAAGCATTAGGTACCAAGGAAAAACTAACACAAAGCCCAGGAGGAGAAAAAAAAAATCCCACTGCACAAAAGGGAGAAAGAGATAATGGCTCAAAAGGGAAATTTCTCATCTAAAAAGGATTTACCTTCACGAACAGGAGATTTTCTCAAAAGACGTTGGCCTTCTATGCCCAATGATATTTATATTACTTTTATTAAACCAAAAAGCACAGAGATGAGAAGGAAGTTGATGAACTGAAGGCCCAGGAGCCGAAACACAGTCCTAACCAAACTGATGAAAGGTTCACTTAACACAGCTGAACACTGCACCGGCTGCAGAGAACAAAACTGAGAAGTAATCCCAGAACACAGAGAACATAAGGGAAAGGGAGAGAAAAAGGATGAAATTTAAGAAAATGGAAATGGAGGGGAGATCACAGAAATCCAACCCATGAATAAAACATGTTCCAAAGGGAAGTACAAACAATCTGTAGTGCACAAGTAATGGCCAAGACATAATAGAAAAGAACTTTCTAGAAAGGAAAAAAGGACTTGAGATTAAAAGGCAAAATGAATGACCAGCTCTTAGAAATCCATGCTGAGAAGTATCTGCCTTTTCTTTTTCTCAAGTTTCAAGCATTAAAATAAATTAAAAATAAAGTGTCAGAGTGGGGAGAGGGTCACCATTAATGAGTGCCACTAAGACCACATGATGTAACAGTCAGTATAAATGACAATGGGGCAACACTCAGAACGTTAAGATGAGGAGAATCTGATCCAAGACTTTTGTGCACAGTCAAGCACTTGTTCAACAATAAAGACAACAAAAAATGTCTTAAAAAATCCAGGATCCCAAGGGCGCCTGGGTGGCTCAGTCGGTTAAGTGTCTAACTTCAGCTCAGGTCTTGATCTCACAGCTCATGAGTTCACGCCCTGCATGGGGCTCTGTGCTGGCAGCTCGGATTCTGGGTCTCCCTCTCGCTCTCTGCCCCTCCCCCACTCACACTCTGTCTCTTTCAAAGATAAACATTAAAAACATTTTTTAAAATTCCAGGCCCCCAGAAAATATATTGTTTGTGCAAAATATTTTCAAAGTTTGCAAGCCTTATTAGATCAGAATGAGTAGCTGAGGCTGGAAGATGTATATTTGGGAGAGAGAGACAGACAGAGCACAGTTGGGGGAGGGGCGGGGAGAGAAGAATCACAGAATCTGAAGCAGGCTCCAGGCTCTGAGCTGTCAGCACACAGCCCGACATGGGGCTCGAACTCACAAGCTGTGAGATCATGATCTGTGCCAAAGTTGGACACTTAACTGACTTAGCCACCCAGGTGCCCCTGGAAGGTATATTTTTTAACAAACTTTATTGTTGGTCCTAAGCATCCAGCCCAACCTGGATGGCTGGTCTAAGTCCAGCATCACTGGCATGCACTTCTGGGAGATGAAAGAACAAATTTAGAAACTTGAAGTAGAAAAAAAAACAGCACCACTGAAACCAGTCAAGATATAAGGATGTTTTAGTAACGTATTAGCTGCTAAAGGTTTCATCCTGAAAATCTTCTGTGTGCATGTCTGTGTGTATATATATACATATATATATATTTGCATTTATGAAAACAAAAATAGGATACAAATGACCCAAATGTTGAACTGGATTTCTTTCTTTTTACTGTAGGTGATGCTGTTTGCATCCTATATTATTTGTCTGTAGCTTGCCACATTTTAAAAGGACTCACAAAAATATAATAATAATAATAAAAGAAAAGCTTCCCTTTTAATGGAGCCGTATAAAAAAAAGGGTAGGAAAAACAGTGAATGCAGAAGCCATAGGTCCTATACTCCTGCTAGAAGTAAACTGCGGATCTAGCTCTGAGCACTTTGTCAACAAAAGCAAGCAGCACAACACCAGAAGATGAATGATGCCCAGAAGAGAAAAGCAAGCTGGTTCTCAGGAGAGCAGTTTTTCCCAGGATGGAGATGGAAGAGAACCATGTCCCTGAAAAAGTGACCACCGTAGGCAATACAGGAATGGCATTCTCATGGGCTGAACAACGGTGGGCTTTTATTTGGCTGCCTTATGTTGGTCATTTTCATGCCATTGGCTTTCATTAATGCAAATGAATAAATAGAGTTCTACGTGGATTAAAAAAGAATGAGCCTACATTTTATCCTTAGGTCAAGCCGAACTGTCTGAAGAAATGGCGGTCTGAAGCACATACCCCTCAGTCCCTAACTGCTTTCTGTCCTGATGGCCTATTCTCAGCACAGCGGCCAGAACGAACCTGTTAAAAAGTAAAACAGGTCATGCCACTCCTTTGCTCAAAATCCTCCAATGTCCACATTTCACACAAAGTCAAAGTCCTTGAAGGACCTAAAGCAAAGGCAACCCATTTCCTTTTGGATCTGATCCCCTCCCCCTACTCCTGACATTACTCTCCCTCCAACCTGGCTGCCTTCCTCAGTGATCCACCCCCGCCAGTATAGACAAGCTCCTGCCTCAGAGTCCTTACTCTGCATGCTGCTCTCTGCCTGGAGCACTCTTCGCCACGTGGCCACAGGATTTACTCCCCCACCTCCTGCAGCTGTTTCCTTAATGCAGCCATCTCAGTGAGACCTGCCTCTGCTACTCTACTCCAAATGCAAGCCCCTTCCTTCTCCATCCCCCTAACTCTTATTCCTCATGCCCACTTAACTTCTCTCCTCAGCATGAAGAAGCACTAGTGTCTTGCTTATGTAATTTACTTTCTGAATCCTTATGTATAGGATCAGCTCAGTGAAGGGAGGAACTGGTGTCTGCTTTATTCATGGCTTTATTTCATATACGTATATTAGTGCTTGGCATAAGGTGGGTGCTAAATAAATACTCAGTTGAATTGAAAAAATGAATCAGACTCTTGAGGAATAATGAATGGAGGGTTCAAGAGTACATACTCTGCATTCAGGACTCTTAAAACACCCAGTGCTTCCTGAAGAGTCATAGGCACTGAGGGCTCACCTGACTGAGGTGAGGGCTGACACCCTTAGGAAATGTAAGGCAGTCTGATAAGGGAAAAGCTTTAACTAATGGTCACTCTGCTGCATCCAGAGAGATCCTTCAGAGGTACAGACAGCAACTCAAATTTCAAAAAGGAGGCCAAGTAAAGGGATGGGCAATGCCTAATTGACAAATCATTCATCTTCTTTGCTTTAGGATACTATATTCTTACTATGTATTTCCTATAACTTAAAATCTCTGGAATAAAATGATATTCTAGGAAAATATAAAATCACTATAACAGTTGTAAAGAAGCAAATGTGTGTGTACCAAAAAATATGAATTATGCCCCCACAAAGATCCAGATGAGTTCAAGTCAGTTCCTTTAAATATTAAGAAATAGCAAATCTCTCTGTATATTCTATATTGTATAGTCAACTAATTAAAGTGGATTGGCTGTTATTTTCAATTTTTAAGTTTATTTATATATTTGGAGAAAGAGAGAGAACAGGGGAGGGCAAAGAGAGAGAGAGAGGGAGAGAGAGAGAGAATCCCAAGAAGTCTCCACACTGTCAGCGCAGAGCCTGACATGGGGCTCGAACTCATGAATTGTGAGATCATGACCTGAGCCTAAATCAAGAGTCAGATGCTCAACTGAGCCACCCAGGAGCCTGTAAAATGGACTGTTCTCCACCCCCATCCCCATACTCTGCATTGGTTTAGAAAGCTGGAATTACCTGGGCACAGGTACTCCACACATTGGGGGGAAGAAAAGGCAAACTTATCACACTGATGACTACAAGAATCCTAAATAAAACAACACCATATCATATCTGAGACTATATCAAAGGAATAACACACATGAGCTGTAGTGGATGTTGTGAAGCACAGAGATCTTTACTCTT